GCTTTATGAGTGAGAGGAAGAATAGGAGAGGTAAACATGAGGTAGGAAAGATGCAAAGACACAAATAATTAAACAAGTTATTTACTTTCTCAAGTGTCTCCTCAATTGCTTCGTCACTGAGTTTTTCACTTCCGCCCTTCTTAAGAATATTATCACAAAAGGTAGCCAGCAACTCAGCACTTGAACTGCCTGCAACACCCTTGTTGCAGAAAACCTCAAATGCCTCTTTCAGTGCCTAAAAAGGGACAAATAAAACTTACACAAAGCAAAGGAACATAACTTGACCAGTGGTGCATCATAAACCAAACCTTATGGAAAAGGGAGTGATTCTGAAAGCAGTCATTCACATATGCCAAGTACTTGTCATGCAGCTCAATAACTTTTCTAACAAAAACCTGAAAACCCAAAGGTATTACTTTCTGATCATCAGAAAATAACCAAAACCTCTGCCCACACTCTAACCAATCAGCTTGTGATAAAGTAAACGTCAAAACATCCCAATATACCTGTTCTTGCAGACCAACCACATCCCTTTTTTCTGCCTGCATAATTTATAGTGTCAAAATCTTAATACAATATGCATCCAAATAAGATGCTAAAACAAGGACCACAAAATATGCAAAAAACAGAAATAACTAAACGAAAAAGCAAACATAGCAAATCAGCTCAAGATATGCTACAGATGAAGGCCATAAACCAATATAACTAACATCGGGTGAGAATAATGAATTCTGCAACACAAACTGCAGCAGATGTTCATTTGCTCCTAAGACAACAAAATGAATGTGATATGAAATAGTACATTATGATGCTAGAGTACAGACAACTAAAAATTGTAGGTTCAACTCTCATACCATAGTTTTTGGTGCTCTTGCTCAGAGCAAGTTGCTCAGTTACTACAAAGCTAAGTATTTAAGCAAAGATTTAAATCTTGAACCGGTGCCTATTCAATAATCTATAAAACTGGTCTAGCATTGATATATTAGGTGGTATATCAACCTGTTAACTCAGTATCACTCAAAAAAATAACAAAAAATAATACCAACTGATACTGGACCTTATGGTCCAATATCAGTTCTTCATCATGGTACCGACACACTGTTTGAATCCATGCTGTTAAGAACTATGCAACATGATCAGAATTCATGAACTTGAATAACAAGGACTGAGTAGCTAATTTATTATTTTGTTTTTGCCATGAGAAAGAAATAAAAATGATTACAACATACAGAGATAAGCAATGAAAAAAAAAAAAGACGATGGAAGACTACCTTCTTGTTACTTGCAGCATCCTCTGCTTGTTTAACCAAGGCTGTACCCTCAGAAGTCACATGCTGCACCAGAGTAATAATTCAGAAAACAGACCCGTCAATATTTTACTGGAGCTCCATAAAGTCACAAATTAAAAATCAGAGGTAAACCTGCTTAAATATTTGAGAAACAGGATCTAGGCCACGAGGTATTCTGCAAAAGAGCCTATACATACGCGAGAGGTCATCCACCTAAAATGCAAAACAGATGCACAGCTGTTAAATCTTATTTAATTCCACAGGAAGAATCTTATTTTTATGCAACAAATAGGTACAGGCACCTTGTCATCTCGAAGTAAGGCATGGCACCCAGAATGTTCCTTTTCCAGAAGTTGGCTTGCATATGCAAATAGCAACTCATGTTGCACTTTCTACAAATAAAAAAAAATTGACGATGATATTTCAATTACTCAAGTAATAGTATCCAGCTGCAAATACTCAAGATTGGTGCACGTAGCTCCTAAGTCCTAACTGGTAACAATAAGTCCACGAAGTATCAAGACTTTTAAGATATCCTTTCTTTTTTAACACTTAAAAACATATTTAAATAACTGATCACTTCAGCTAGAGATGAAACTTATGACAAGAATGATATACCTCCAACAACTTCTGTTCACTGCTTGAATGCAAGTAATGAGCAACCCTATCCTTTTCCCGCTTTAAGCACTCCTCAGCCTAAAAAATGCCAGATAAGACATCAAAATGTCTCACTGTGGGATAATTAAACATAATTATGCATATTTAAGTGGGAATTACCTTTAACATGTAATCTGGACATGAATCTTCTAAAATCCAATTTGAAGCTTTCCTAGAATAATATGCTGCAGTATCTTTAAGCAGATCTGCTTCGAAGTCATTTTCGTAACACTCCATGTTACCTAGCCCAATCTCAACAAAAATGTCCAAGACATTCTTCAATAAAGCTCTATCAATTTGTTCCCCCTCTCGCTCTTGGTCAATCTGTTTGAAAGACCAACTGCAGTCAAAACTAGGTAGCCAGGTGAAAATGATTAATCATCAGAAAAAAGGCCAAACTTACCAAAGAAATGACAGCATCTTTAACTTTGCCTTTAATCTCCTGATAAACCTATAAAAAAGAGAATACATGTCAAAATAAACTGCCATAAGGTCTCCAATATATTTCACTACATGTGAAATGCTTGTATCATAGAGAAAATGCAATCTTATGTTACATATTGCAGCAATTCAGCAAAAAAGGTGTTAATGTACCAGATCACGGAAGCAGGTAAGCCCAACTTCATTCAGTGGTGGAAGTGACCTCCGTGCGACAAAATATCGGTCAAGATAATGAAAAAACCGGGAAAGCCATCTGACCATAACTTTATGATTTAACCATCTTTTGACTAGCTCTCTCAACATATATTCATCATGCTTCTCTCTCAAAGATGGCAATACCTGAGCCAATAAAGAAGGAAGCTTTAATGAAATTATAAAAACATTGATACCATCACAGAGTTCTATAACATTTAGACAGTAGAACATTTGATTAAACTACAATTTGTACTCCAATGAAATTTCAGATTTTATATGATAGAAATTTAATGATTATCGAAGATGCAAGTTAATTCGGTCTCCTGTCATTAATAAAAAATCTGAACCTTTATTCCTGCATACCGGCTTTCCAAATGATAATCAAACTCGTATTGCATATAAACAATAGAATGCTACTTATTTCTCTCTTTTCTTTTATACAAATCATTTTTTTCTATTATTGCATCTTAGAGAAAGTGGAAACATGTAAATGATAAACATAATTACTGATCAAATGAGCTGCTGAACAGCAGTGAAGAATGAAGATGCTCCTTCACAAAACAACCAACAGTTTAAAGATCAAGACTTGGATCAGATTGTTTGGGCTCCCAAAACCTATATAAATTTCAGCACACCCTATGAAGCCCCAAAGCTTGACTCGATTTTGAGACACATCAAGTTATGTCATCAAAAGTCAAGCTTGTCCTTCTGAGGCTGAAAACCATAACTTTATACAACAGATGCAACAAGAAACAGATCAATGACATGCAACTAACTACTTAACCAATCAGCCTACTTAGATACTGCTTCAGTCTCTACTTGATCGTGCAGAAAGATTAGTAACATAACAAAACAGGTTGCTATTGACACAAATATTTTCTTTTTTTGTCGACAAAGCATGCAACCTGAGGTAAACGAATCGTGCTCAGGTAAACGAATCGTGCTCACCATGGACGTGATGTATTCCTCAAACGACTCCCTGTACTTGTCATATAGCTGCTGCGAGTAATCGTGAGGGGGTTTCTGGGTGCACATGTTGTAGATAGTCCTGATCCAACGGCGAGGGCAACAAATCCGTAACCAACAAAAACACCCTTTTTCGAAGACTAGAAGATCAAGAAGCAGAGATGATAAGATGTGACGTACGTGTAGAGCATCATGTAATCCTCCGAGCTGAACTGCGACTCCGGAAGCCCCTCCAAGATGTTCTTCAGTTTAGTGATGCCCTTCTGCATGAACTCCCATCCCTGCTCCAAATCGATCGTCTTCCTCTCGTGCATCGCCATCCTCCTCGGCGATCAAGATCCCCCGCCCCTTTCCCCGCAACGAATCGGGAGCCTGTGCCCAAATCACCCTCTAGGGAAGGAACCGAAGGCGATCGAATCAAACCCTAACCAGGGATCCGAACCCCGAAACCATCGATCAAGATGCGGGAGGAGTAGGGGAGAGGAGAAAGGAGGAGGAAGAGAAAAATCGCACCTGAGACCGATCGATTACCCTAACCCTAACAGAAGAGGTAGGAGGAGGGCCGCGGGAGTCGGAAAGCAACGAAGCAGGCGGTTGTGGTCACGATGGCAATGAAGAAGGTGTATGGCGATGAATTGGCGATCCCCAAAAAGCCTCCCCAATCTCGTACGAGATCGTAAGATCGGACCCTCATGCAATCGCATGTGTCAAAGCACAATCCATCGGCGAGCTCGTCGACGCCGGCGACGAGCCGTTCGATCGAAATGTGGCCTTTGATCCGATCCCGACCCTGTGGACGCGTTCGCATGAGTCTCCGACCAAAACAGTGCTGCGGAGAGGATAGGAGGAAGAGTCGTCATAACGGAACATAAAGTGAAGGTATTTAAATTCACCCGCCGGGTTAGTGGCTCAGCAGTGAACCATGCCGTGGATCCCACGTCGAATGCCATTCACGTCAATGGTAATCTCGGTCGGGTATATAAGGGTGTTCTGAAAAAAGGTGCGGGTTTGGTTGCGGAGGAGGACCTCTTACAATACAGTCATTTAATGTAATAGATTTTTTAATTAAAAACAGTATTTAAAAAATAAAAAACTTTTAAAAATATTAATTATTATTTTATATGTAAAAAATTATTTGATTAGCATGAGTTAATTGGATGGAGTAACGAATATGTAGAATTTAAATATTTGAAGATAATATATAAATCCATGACAACTTATTTATATATATAAATGATATTTATGATATATATATATATATATTATATTTTAAAATTTGACAGGGCAAATATGTTATTTCAAGAGTTTTGGAATCATAGATACTTAAAGATCTACATGTATGTTCTGCATGCCGGGTTGGGTGGGATAGATCAGGTTTCCGGGTCGGGTCGGATGGGTCGAGCAGGCTCGGGTCGGATCGTGTCGTGTCGGATTACTGAACCTGCCACCAAAATGCTCTATTGAGGAGACGCCCGTCTGCCGACTCAAAGCTACCGAGGCGGAGGCGGAGGCGGCGGCAGTGGTTGGAACTGGTCGTCCCAAGAGAGAAGACATAAGGAGAGGGAGAAGGGGAATGGGGCAGGCGTTGCGGCGAGCTACAGGAAGCGTGCGAGGCGGCCGGCCCGACCCTCCGCCTCCTCCGGTCCAGAGATCCCCACGGCCGGCCAACGTGGACCCGCCCCACCCCCCTGCTGCCTCCATTGACGGCCAAGATCCTCTTGGCATCGCCGGTGCAGGTTCGCGATGCCCTTCCTTCTCCGCTTCATTACTCTCTTCTGCTTCACTTTGATTGACGCCGAAGCAAAAAACAATCCTTTTTCTTTCTCTATTATTTAGCTTTTGGATTTTGATCTTGTTAAAAAAGATAGCCCGTCGACCTCCAAAAAATATCTCCTTGGAAGAATTTGCGCAAATTTGGGATTCACTTAATTGGCATAAGGAGTGCTTGGTATATGCTTACCTCATGTTGCGTTGCTGCAAAGGACAGCGCGCCCGACTTCTTGTTGTTCTTTCTTGAAAGTTTCATGATCCAATTAGGGCATGTGATGGTAATCATCAACTTAGCAACCATACACCCGATAGCTAAAGAGCTACGATATATATGGAATGCAAATTGATCCACTCCAACAAATTTAAGCAAGAAGGATCTTTCAAGATTAAAGTTAAGGAAACTATTCTAATGACTTTATCAATGAAAATTTGATGAAGTAATTAGAACAGTCTTTTGATTCCCTTAAAACGTCACAAACTAAGAAGCTTGATAAGTTGAAAAGAAAAATAAAGATTTCTGGGTTTTGAACACCACAAGCAGAAAAGCTTGATAAGTTTCAAAGTTCGTGCAAGAACTTAAAAACAAAATATTCACCGGTGTTGAAAGTTGAATATATTTCTGAATTATATTCCTTACAAAGGGAATCAGCCTTGTTTATATAGTACAAAGGTCAAGTACAAAGAGAATGAATCCATTAAATACATTAAATGATATTCATATTCCTAATGTATGAATGTAGATTACTCATAAATCTATCTTGAATTTATTTGAGTGATTATTCATGAATAAGCCCACAATTCCTAATATGATCCAATATGGCTGAATGACCTTTATTCTTCAAAATGGGCTAAAAATTCATCATTCTCTCAGGGTTGGATTTTCTCTTCACGATGCGGACTTATTTGAATCAGGTTGACTATTTTAGGCTCTTTTTGTATCCATAGAACCTTGATCAAGTTTTGATCAGCTTGCTCCTTCCAAATGCCTTACAATAAACAAGTTAAGACTTCTCTCATCCTTTTAGCTTTGGCTCTTGTCATTGGTCCTCCATGAATAGTTAAAGGGTCTTTGGCAAAATTATAATGAACTTGCTCATTCATATCATTCCACCTTTCCTTGAAAGGATTCGTTCTCGAATCAGCGCCTTCATCACCTGCATCAAATAAAGATAAATCGGAATCATTGAAGGTTGCACTAACATTGCCATACTCACCTAGTAGTTCTAACTTGTATACATTGATTGTCATTGATTTTTTGAAAGACTCGAAATGGACCATCTCCTCTTGGCATTAGTTTATACTTTGGTTAGGAAATCTTTCCTTCCTCAAGTGTACCCAAACCCAATCACCAGGTTTAAATACTACTTGCTTTCGGCCATTGTTGTGTTGTTTCTCATATTGTAGAGTTTTCTTTTCAATTTGTGTCCAGACTCTTTCATGCAATGCTTTGACAAAATCACCTTTTTGCTTACCATCCAAATTGGCATTTTCCAAAGGTAAAGATAGCAAATCCATAGGAGTTAATGGATTGAACCCGTACAAACTTCAAATGGGGAATGGTTTGTTGTAGCATGCACACTTCTGTTATAAGCAAACTCCACATGTGGCAAACATTCCTCCCAATTTTTCAAATTCTTTTGAATTATGGCCCTCAAAAGTGTTGATAAAGTTCGATTTACCACCTCCGTTTGTCCATCTGTTTGTGGATGACAAGTGGTAGAATACAACAACCTTGTACCCAACTTGCTAAAAAGTGTTTTCCAAAAGTGGTTGAGGAACTTCACATCTCTATCACACATAATTGTCTTTGGAATGCCATGTAATCTTATAATTTCTTTGAAGAACAACCCCGCAACATGAGTTGCATCATCTATTTTGTGGCAAGGAATGAAATGTGCCATCTTACTAAACTTGTCAACAACAACAAAAATAGAATCTCTCCCTCCATTTGACCTAGGTAAACCTAAGACAAAATCCGTGGATATATCAACCCAAGGCTCACTAATTATAAGAAGAGGAGTATACAATCCATGAGGCATTACTTTAGATTTAACTTGTTTACAAGTAATGCATTTCTCACACAATCTCTCAACATCTCTTTTCATGTACGGCCAAAAGAAATGATCGCTTAACACATCTAAAGTTTTTCTAATCCTAAAATGCCCCATTAAACCTCCACTATGTGCCTCTCTCACAAGTAATTCTCTTATTGAACATTGAGGAACACACAACTTATTTTCTTTGAAAAGAAAACCATCATGCCTGAAGAACTTGTTAAAACATCCTTTCTCACATGCCTCATAAACATTAGCAAAATCATGATCAGAATTGTATAAATTTTTAATGTACTCAAAATCCAATAATTTTGCATCAAGTTGAGAAATTAGAGCATACCTTCTAGAAAGAGCATCGACAACCACATTTTCCTTATCTTGTTTATACTTGATGATGTATGGAAAGGATTCAATAAACTCCACCCATTTTGCATGCCTACGGTTTAGCTTTCCTTGTCCTTTGAGATATATCAAGGGCTCATGATTGATGTATATAATGAATTCCTTGTACCAAAGATAGTGCTGTCATGTCTCTAACACTCTTACCAAAGCGTAAAACTCTTTGTTATATGTCGGATAGTTAAGACATGCTCCACTTAGCTTCTCACTAAAGAACGCAATGGGTCTGCCTTCTTGCATTAAGACTCCTCCAATTTCTATTCCACTCGCATCACACTCAATCTCAAAAGTTTTAGCAAAGTTCGATAAAGCAAGCAAAAGTGCTGAATTGAGTTTGTCTTTAAGCAAGTTAAAAGCATCATCTTGTTTTTCACCCCATCTAAATCCCATATTCTTTTTGATGCATTCAGTTAATGGTGCAGCAATTGTAGAAAAATCCTTAATAAATCTTCTATAAAAGCTAGCAAGACCATGGAAGCTTCTAACATCACTAACACTTGTAGGTTTTGGCCACTCCCTACTTACTTTCACTTTTTCTTGATCAACATGTATTCTTTTATCATTAACAACATATCCAAGAAAAGTAATTTCATTAGTGCAAAAAGTGCATTTCTTTATATTAGCATGTAACTTTTCTTTTCTAAGCACGTCAAAAACAGTTTTTAAATGTGTTATATGCTCATCTAAAGTTTTGCTATACACAAGTATATCATCAAAATAAACCACTATAAACTTTCTAATGTAAGCACGTAAAATATGATTCATCAATCTCATGAAAGTACTAGGTGCGTTAGTTATACCAAAAGTCATAACCTATCATTCATATAAACCATGTTTAGTTTTGAAAACAGTTTTCCATTCATCACCCTCATGCATTCTTATTTGATGATATCCAGATATTAAATCAATTTTTAAAAACACACAAGAACCATGCAATTCATCCATCATATCATCTAGCCTAGGAACAGGATGTCTATACTTTACCGTGATTTTGTTGATGGCTCGACAATCAATACACATTCTCCAAGATCCATCCTTTTTAGGTACCAACACAATCAATACACTTCGTCCTTATATCTACCAATTGAAAAAAAAACTAACACTTGCCGATTTACCTTTACTACACCACTATCATTCAACCATTGTAACTTGTAAAGTTTTGAATGCTTGATAGTAAGTAATTTCAGTTTCTCCATGAGCAAGGTGCTTGCCACATTTGTACAACTTCCACTATCAATAATCACATTACATAACTTGTTAGCAATCAAACAATGAGTATGAAACGGATTTTCACGTTGTTCACCATGTTCATCATTTTTATTTTGCAAACTAAGTGTTCGTTGAACAACTAGATTTTCACCTTTAGCATACTCTACATCACTCGCATCCTCTAGAATGTCATCATCATCCTCTCTCTCACTTTCAGATTCCACAATTCCATCCCTCATGATCATAAATCTCTTATTAGGACATTCATGTGCCACATGTCCATGCCCAAGGTACTTAAAACACTTAATACCTCTAGTTTGATTAGGTAGATTCTCACCTTTACCCTTGTTGTCTAATTCATTTCTGCCTTTAGTTTCATCGATTTTAGGCTTAACAATAGGTTTATCATCCTTTTTACTCCAATTCGGTTTCCAAGAAGAAGAAGAACCCAAATAAGGTTTTGAATCATACCTTGTGCGTTTTCTTTTGAGTTGCCTTTCAATCTTCATGGCCACATTCACCATGTTGTCACGAACGGTCGTCGTGCACTCGCAACAACTCCGTTCAACGAACCGTTTGTCGCTCACACCTACATGTACAGCTGTTTGACAGCATGTTTTCTCTTGGTTTTGGGTCATTTTGCTTGTAAAAATGTAAGTTCGAACAAGCTGCAGCATTACAAAGCGACCGCTCACCGAACCGAGCAAAACAGCCCCAAAATAGCCCAAAACAGCTCCGTTTTCGTGTGCCGCGGGCTGATTTCTGGAATCTGCCTCCGCTCACCAAAACGTCAGCCATCTCAGCCCCTTTGAACCCCCCGGGTGGCACAGGGCTGGATGGGGCTTCGAATATATACCGGGCGTTGAACACTCTTTCGTAAGTTCGCATGTTGCCTTGACGGGAACTTGTTGTCGCGCCCGGGACCAGGTGAGCGGCTGTTTGTGGGCTTGGAGCTGTTCGTTCAACCTTCTAAAGCCCTTGTTTTCCCCCTCTCCCTCTTTTCTCTTGTGCACGCAAGGTGCTCGCTGAATTGCTTGTTAAGCTTCCCCTTTTCGCGAGACGTCGAGACTTGTCCGCCGCTCGTTCTTTCGAACTAATCAACTTTCTCTTTTTACAGGTCCTTCGGGACCTGCGAGAGGTTACAAGTGGGCTGATCCTTGCGGAGCAATATCGCAAGGGCGAAGCGCGACTTAGGCAACGCAAGCTAAGTTCGCGTCTTTGGCCGCAAGGGTGCCTCACGCCTTAGGCAATTCCAGCTAAGGCCGTGACATTGTGGTATCAGAGCGGGCAAGCACTTCGAGCGA